GACCGCGCCCTTGCGAGTGTTTTTTAATAAGAGACGTTACATCTTTCTTTAGCAGGAAAATTTAAGGAAAACCCTCCCCCACTTTGTTAATAGTAAAGACAGGGGGACTTTTTTTGTCTATGTTTAAAGACAGCAAGATAAAAATTTCTGCTTTGCTTCATCGAGGAAGGGGCAAGGAAGAAAAAGTACTGGGTCAGCTTTTTTTTTTGTGCTGGGGGGTGCGGCATGGGGTGCGTGGCGTCTTAGATTATTTTCGATCTGGCGTTAGTGTGAACAAAGTATCTCATAAACACAAAAACATTAAGAAAAGTGTGATCAGCTTCTTTAGGAAAGATTGTGAACAATAAAGACAAATCTTGTAAAAAATTTGTGTACCAGGTGGTTTTCCTAGATATGGAAGAGTGGACACCAAGGACACTTCGCTTCTATCAATCACCAAACTGTCAAAGGGTGGAAAACCCCATGCTCCGCTACAAGAGCAGTAGGTTACGAATTTCTTTTTAGTAGGGGGGGGACTGCGCATTCTTGGTCGCAAGGATTTGTAATCAACTTGTGGGCATAAGGTGTGGACTTTTGAGCCCCAAACAAGTAGTAATTTTCAGAAACAGTGAAGAAATATGCTGACATAACACCCCTAGGGGTAATTTAAATCTTACAATTATAAATCTTTCCCACCCCCGTTGAGAGATGACTTCGACGTTTTCTCAAGACCCTCGTCTGCAGGGGCGGTTTGTGCAGGGATAGTTGTCTTTCAAATTTTAAGTACAAACCTTTAAACTTAACTGGTAATGCCATTTCTCAACATCATGCACACATCTGTACCATTTACCTTTATCAGGAATTCTGTTTAGCTTTTGGGTTAAAAAAAAAATTTAAAAATAAAAATTGGAAAAGACTAGTTAAGGAGGATTTCCCATCGCCTAAAAAAAGGTTTGAGTGAAAAACTGACCATTAAGCACAAATGTTGCATCAGTAATGCAAAGTTTAATAAGCTCAGTGAATGTTAAATTATGATTGGACAGTTGTTCAGATAGAAACATATTAATCCATTAACTGCGATTCTTGTGAATAATTACATAACATTAAACAAATAACCCGTACAGTCACAAGTGTGATTTGTAAATGGTCCAGGCGGACGAAACGATATCGTAAGCCCCTTGCTGCTTTATGCGAGTTATTTGTTTATTGTTCCAGTCACGGTGTTGTGCCTTTTTTTGTTATTTAATTACATAACATCTAAATTATCCACATTATAACATTGTTCTTGACGCTGCTGTTGGAAATTTCGCCTCCATCTGAGCTCAATATAACTACAAACTATTTTGTTAATTTGTAAGTGACTGAACCATTGAAGCTACTGATGACTGATATTGAACACTCACACACACACGTAGGCGGGGCCAGGAGCTGAGACTCGACCTTTGCAACCGCATGTAGAAGAGTACACATACAAATGTGTCCAGAATGTGCAGGTAAATGAATCATTAGTGTAAACCAGCGCCATTAAAGTGTGCTGAGAGGGTGTTAGAGCTGACAGGGGGGCTTGAGTGCAAGGGGCTTACCTTGGGTGCAAGGGGTTTTTACCCTTAGTGCAAGGGCTTTCCTGGTGAAGGGGGTTTTCCTTGAGTGCCCCGGGGTTTTCCTTAGTGCAGGGGGTTTTACCTTGAGTGCAAGGGGGTTACTTTATTTTCGGGGTTTCCTTGAGTGCAGGGGCTTACCTTTTAGTGCAGGGGGGCTACCTAAAATGCAAGGGGGGTTTCCTTAGTGCAAGGGGTTCCTGAGTGAAAGGGGGCTTCCTTGGCAGGGGGGGGGGGAGGGGGGGGGGGCTTACCTTGATGCAAGGGGTTACCCTTTAGTGCAAGGGCTTCCTTAAATGCAGGGGGGTTACCTTTATGCAGGGGGGGTACCCTTTAGTCCGGGGGGTTACCTAAATGCAAGGGGGGTTTCCTAAATGCAGGGGGTTTTCCTTTAGTGCAGGGGGGGTTACCTTGATTTCAAAGGGGGCTTACTTGAGTGGGGCTTACCTTGAGTACAAGGGGCTTACCTTGAGTCAAAGGGGGTTACCCTTTAGGGAGGGGGGTTACCTTGAGGAGGGACTTCCTTAGTCAAGGGGGTTACCTGAGTCAAGGGGGGTTTACCTTTTAGTGAGGGGGTTTCCTTGATTTCAAAGGGTTACCCTTTGGGTAGGGCTTCCCTTGGTCGGGGGGGCTTACCTTGATACAAGGGGCTTCCCTTTGAGTGCAGGGGCTTCCCTTGTTTGAAAAGGGCTTACCTTGAGCGCAGGAGCTTCCCTTAGTGAAGGCTTATCTTGAGTGCAGGGGCTAACCATGGTGAAGGGGTTACCTTGAGTGCGGGGGGGCTTACCTTGAGCGAAAAGGGGGCTTACCTTGAGTGAAAGGGGTTTTTTCCTTGGTGCAAGGGGCTTTATTTTGAGTGA